AATTAAAATATTATAATAAATTTTTGAATACGTTTCGTTTGTGTTCGCTCCGCCAATACGCGCGAAGCGGAATTCGTAGAACGACTGCGAGCAGGCAAAAAGATTCGTATTGGTCTATCTATTAGATGTGTTTCAATGTATCTGTATCTGCATCTGTAGCTGAGAGTTTTGTTGCTGTTGTTGTTGTTTGTACCTGTGAATGTTGTTCGCTAGTTGCTGGCCGTCTTACCTCGCCTACTCACAAGCAAACACAGCAACACAAACGTCAGAGAGACAGAGAGTGAGAGCGAAAAAAATTAACTGGTAGAATAGTTGGACCTATTGTTGTTGTTGTTTAAGTTTTTTGGACTGCTGTGTGGGCTGTGTGGGCTACTAACACTACTAACAATAAAGTATTTGTGTAAATAGACATATATGCATAAATCTATATTGTTGATATTGCCTCGATCTTTCTCTCTCTCTCTCCCTTGGTCTCTCCTACCTTTAGATTGAGTAGGCAGACAAAATTTAAATTTGAATTTGCAATAGATTTGTTTCTTTTGCTTTCAGCAATGAAACAAAACAGTGTTGATGTGTCATTTTTGTATAAATTATGAACGATATATGCGAGATTATATATAGAGCATAGCCCACGCCCACGCCAGCGGAAATGATGTTCAGGTGGTCTAAAAAAGCAGCATCAAGATCTTAGCTTTTTTGTTGTATTTTATTTTTTCTATGTTGTACATATATGCTTAATGTTGTCTATGTTTAGTTTGTATCTGCTGCTACAACAACAAATATAATTGATTGTGATGCGATCGTTAAAATTGTAATTAAGATTCATTGTTGTTTGTTCTTCATTATCAATTTTTGCACAAACACAAAACACCAGCACACACACACTCACACAAACAAAAATTAGAGCATACAAAGAGAAATATACTAACAATTAAGTTGCTTTTAACTTATTCAATATTCAATTTCGATTTCAATTTTTAAACTGTTCGTAACGGCGGTTTCTGCTCAAGCGGGCGTCGCAGAAAGAGCCGTTCATGCGCACACAACTGACAACTTAGGCTATACGCGACCAAATAAAAATTTGAATTCAGAATGAAAGAATTGCCAGTTGACAGAGTTCGAACAAGCTGACAGCTCTATGTGGCTTAACGGTGGCAACTCTGTTCGCTGCATTCGATAACAAATTTTGCAGTTCATCCCTAGCGCGCGTTATTCTTTTGAATGTCATTCCGCTTTTATCATTATAGTATATCGCATATTATTATGATTATTTGTGTTTTAATGATTTGAATCATTATTATTCCGTAGGTAAAAATTTAATTTTATGCAAACTAAATTATTTAAAACACTGCAAAGGCCGAGCTCACTTATATATTATGACCATTCTAATTCTCAAACGGATTCTAACCAAAGCATAAAGTACATCTATCGAAATTAATTGTTAACCATTTTTCCTGCAAAATACTTTTTTTAAGTGTAGTTATATACATTAAAATGTAAAATAAAATGTGCAATATACGCCTATCGATAGTGAAAGACTAATCGATTTCAAACGAAACCCTAGTGTTGCTCATCCCTAGTGAGCCCTAGAATATTTGCGTTTCCCCTTTAGTGGAGTTTGTTTTCCTTTGTCGAGCAGGAATAGAAACTGCATCTAATAACAAAATAAATCCAACCAGCCCTAAAAAGCTACATAAACATATACCAATCAAAAATGGATAAAGAATTAAAGGAGCAAGTTAATTTGAAGCCCATCCGCAAGGAAATTATCAGTCCTGGCAACAAATACATCGAACTGAAGCCAGGCACCAGGGTAAGAAAAATTAAAATCACATAGAGGCAACAGTTGTGTGTGGCCAGCAAAATCCAGGTCATAACTGGGCCAAGGCCATGGCTGACAGTGTACAAATATTACAGGTTAAATTTCACTTCCAAACGCGTCGGGCCAATGATGTGCGAATCATTGACGATAGCAAGAAAATTAACAAGCCAATGGAGCTGGTCCTGGGCAAGAAATTCAAATTGGAAGTGTGGGAGGTCATGGTGCAGAAAATGTCCCTAAATGAGGTGGCCAAGTTCACGGTCCACAAATCGGTAAGCAACCCGTTAGCTATTAGCAATATAATATTTCATTAATTCGATACTAATTTTACTTACAGCTCTGTGCCCAATATCCGTTCATTTCGAAAACTCTACGGGATATTGGCAAGAAACCTGACGAGCGTCGCCACTGCTGTGGCATGACACTGCAGAACGAGGGCATGGGCTACGAGGATCTCGACGAGCTGTTGCAGAGGCCCGTCGACTTGGAGTTCACCATAGAACTGATATCGATTGAGCTGCCCGAGGAGTACGAGAAGGAGCGCTGGCAAATGTCCGATGATGAGAAAATGCTTGCAACGCATACCTTGCGGGAGCGCGGCAACAGACTGTATAATGCGCAAAATTACGCCGAGGCGGAGATTTGCTACCGCGACGCCGTGGGCATGGTCGAACAGCTGATGCTCAAGGAGAAGCCTCACGATGCGGAATGGCAGGAGTTGGCTAACATCAAGGTTCCATTGCTGCTCAACTACGCCCAATGCCGTTTGATTGCTGGCGATTACTATGCGGTGATTGAGCACTGCAACGAGGTGCTGACGCTTGATCCGCGCAATGTAAAGGCGCTATTCCGCCGTGCCAAGGCACACGCTGGTGCCTGGAATCCGGCGCAGGCGCGCCGCGACTTTCTCGATGCTCTGAGTCTAGATGCGAGCCTGAAGACAACTGTCGCCCGCGAACTGAAGGCGATTGAGGAGCAGCAGCATGAACGCAACGTTCAGGATCGCATCCACATGCAGAAGCTCTTCTAGAATATAAGTTGTGCTAACGTACTGCTCATGCTCCTCGTTTATTGGAGCAACTATGCGCAGCGTTAACAGTTAGCCAATACCTTTCTCTTCTGGCAGAGTAGCTATATATATACACTTGTCTTCTATGTCTCTAAGGGTTTTGTAATGCTCTGCCTTCTCTTCAATCAACTCTTGTGCTGCTGGATCATATTCAAGACGCTGCTCCTGCCCAGATTGAGGCGTCTACTCGGCTGAGGATGGGCGCCACAACGGTGCGTGTTTGAGATCAAATTCAAAATGCGCTCTGCCTCTGTTTTTCTCTCTTTATCTTCTTCTGCCCTGCTTCTGTCTGTGTTTCAATGTATCACTGTCTCTGTCTCTGTCGCTATCTCTTTCTGTGTTGAACCGTTAATGGCATTTAGCCTAGTTGTAAGCCTTTCGAGCCTTCATCTTCATCTGAAACGGTTTCTGCAAAGCCATTACTACGCCATCGATCGCCAAATATTGAAAGAAATGTATATGTTGTATGTAAATGTGTATTTAGGAATATTATCTATCATAAGTAAGGCCTCAACTCGAGAGCCGTCAACGTAACGTTAAAGCGAACCATGCCCGTCTGTATTATAAGTGTATGTGTGTTATATATATATAAAGATATATATCCAGTTCCATGTAGGCTCATTAACCTAATAGCTAATTGTTCGCATGTGTAATAAACTTGTGTCTAATTGTTATCAACGTCTCCGTTTGCATTAGGATTGCATTGGCTAATCAAGCAATTAGACTACTTAGCTAAATGGGCGTAACTAGTAATCGGGGGCTATTCAAACACTACTAATCTTAAAGCAGTTAAAATTGTTAATTGCAATCTCATTTAATTTCCAGAGTTCGTACTATAGAGTTAAGTAAGAAGAGTTACTAGACGAAATTGTTATATTATTGTTTACGTTAAGAGCTGATTGTATAATTTAAATGAAGTTTCAAATGTTTTTTACTCATTAATTAGCTTTTAGTAGTTGAATTTGTATTTTTGTTATTTATGAACTCGCCCGACTGTTGATTGTTTGAATTTGTTTATAATACACTTCTAATGGATATGTGGATAAACACATCAATTGCTTTTGCCTGATTGCATATAATATATGACATATATATATATA